CTAGGGCTGCATGAGAATGCTTCAAGAAACCCTAGTCGATGCTCTGGTACCAAGTAGAAATCTACTGAATTAAAAAATATGAAAGAAAGTAGTTTCTTGAAGAGAGAAGGAAGAGAGAAGGAGAAGAAGAGAAGTTGAAAGAAAAGAGAGCAATAATCTGGCCGCCTCCTTCACTTATTATTTATACTAAAATAGTAGAACAATACGATGACAACTATGCCCTTATAGGGCGGCAAAACATRAAACAACATRTATAACACAAAAAACATAATAAAATTTGGACTTACATAACTACTGTGGTCCCCACATCCTATCTAACAACTAACATAAAACATCTACTCAGAAAAACATCATAAAACTAATTAATCTTCTACAAACAAAAGCAATATTCCTTTTGAAATTGTGTATACTGATGTTTGGGGACCCTATCGTACCACTGCCATGGGGGGGTACAGATTTTTCCTATTGTTTGTTGATGATTATACTCGGTTTTCTTGGGTTTACCTTATGCATTCTCGAGATGAGGTTCCCGCATTAACCCGGATCTTTCATCCGATGATTTTAACCCAATTTGGGGTCAAAATTAAAATTTTTAGATCCGATAATGCAAAAGAATATTTTGCAAACTCATTAGCCTGCTACCTGCTTGACCATGGGATTATCCATCAGAGTACCTGTCCTCATACACCATAGCAAAATGGGGTTGCTGAAAGAAAGAATAGACACATATTAGAGGTAGCCAGAAGCATTATGTTTACCTCAAATGTGCCTATACGTTTATGGGGGGATGCTGCTCTTACAACAATATATCTCATCAATCAGATTCCCTCACGGGTTCTTGACATGAAACCTCCATTTACCCTTTTATACCCTGATAAAGAATTGTTTACAATCCCCCTTAAAACCTTTGGTTGCACTTGCTTCGTTCAGATCCTTGGCCCTCATCGTTCCAAATTTGATCCTAAGGCCTCAAAATGTATTTTCCTTGGTTATGCACAAACTCAAAAGGGATGTTGCTATTATGAACCCACTTCTGGRAAAAGATTTGTCTCAATGGATGTCCCCTTCTTTGAGGATGAACCCTATTATCCAAGGGTTTCTCCTCAGGGGGATAATAGTGAGGTTGGGATTAGCTCATCAGAAGTTCCTTTACCAATCCCATCAAGTGAAGAGGGGTGTAGTGGGGAAGGTTGTCAAAGGTGTAGGGATGTGAGAGTCTATCACAGACGGTGGAGACAAGTTGATTTTGGACATCAGCAGTCCAAAATGTTTCGACTGTGCAGAGGGTGGAGAGCCTCTTGAAGATAAAACTATGTTCCAACATGTTTCGACTGCTGCTACAGTAGTCCGAATAGGAAGAGGAGAAGAAGAAGAAGAAGAAGAAGAAGAAGAAGAAGAAGAAGAAGAGGGGTCTGTCGAAAATCTGATGGTTAACCCATCCAGTCGACCCCCTTAATCTATATTAGATTCTAATAATGTTTACAAAGACAGAAATGCCCTTACTTAAGTGTGGGGCAGAGTAACTCCAATAACACTGCCACATAAGCAAGTTACTTAATAAACAAAAGAAGACTAAATTACCCCTATTCGGCACATCTTAACACAACAGTTAGTTGGAAAACTTCTTTATCTTTGCTTCACACGACCCGACATCAGTTATGCAGTCAGTGTAGTTAGTCAGTATATGCACTCTCCTAGAACTATTCACCTCCTTGCAGTTGAGAGGATATTAGCATATTTGAAGAGGTCCCTAGGCAGGGGCATTTTGTTTAAGAATAATGACCACATGAAGATAGAAGTTTACACAAATGCTGATTGGGCTGGGTGTGTTGATGATCGAAGATCTACCTTTGGATATTGTGCCTTTGTAGGGGGTAATCTTGTCTCCTGGAAGAGTAAGAAACAAAGTGTTGTTTCTCGTTCCAGTGCTGAAGCTGAATATAGGTCCATGGCAAATGGTGTTGTTGAGATTCTATGGTTGAGATCATTACTTGAGGAATTGGGTATTGTTTATGAGAAACCCCTAATGTTGTACTATGATAATCAGGCTGCCATTAATGTAGCCCATAATCCAGTACAGCACGGCAGAACTAAGCATATTGAAAGGAACCGGCATTTTATCAGAGAAAGAGTTACATCTCAAGAAGTATACCTTCCATACATCACCTCCGACATGCAGCTTGTAGACCTTCTCACCAAGGCTGTTTCAAGAAAGAAGTTAGAGGAAGACCTATGCAAGTTGGGAATGGCAAACATCTATTCCCAACTTGAGGGGGAGTGTAGGAAACTGTGGACCCCACACTAGTGTACTCGTATGACAGTCTGAGTTGTATTTAGATTTAATTAAGTCATTGATTAGGATTAGTTTTTAATCTTATCTTATCTTATCTTGCCATGTAAGCATTAAGTCCTACTACAATTATACAACTGTGTATATAAATTTAAAGACTGGGGCAGCTGTTTCATAACACCAACCACTCTCTTCTTTCTAAAACCCATCTACGAGTTCTCCCTCTCCATCTCTCTTCTTCTCTTCTCCTTTTTCTTTAATTTTCTGTTCAAAGTCTAAAAGATATCTGTAGTCTTGTACGACTACTTATCTCATTTGTGGAGATTATAGAATTTGGTGAGGGCACAAATGTGACTTTATGTAAAGATATAGTAGTAGGCAGTAGTCATTAGACCCTCTTTTCTAGTACAATTTTACTTCCAATTCTTCCCAAAGATATTAAAAGGAACAAAACTCCTCTTCTGTAATTTTCTGTATATGTTTACTTTAACAGTTAATTTTAATGTGTTTGGTGTTGCCATCTGTTTTTCCCTGTAGAAGTTCTAAGCTTGACCTCGGCTTGTTTGTTGTAAAGGATTAAAAAGTGATATTAATAATTGTCTTGGGGAAATAAAATGCAATATTTCTTTCATGAGATTAATCTTTGTAGGGATATTTGTATGGCATAGAAGAAGTATGAACTGGGGATTAGATAAACTTGTTACTTGGAATGGGGCATGACCTTGGGAAAATATATAGTGGGGGATTTTCTTACAAAAAGAATAGTAGTGGAGGGTTTCATATCTTGTGGATGTCTTCCAATGTAAACTTTGGGAAGTTTTATAGTGTAGGAATAGCACAATATCTGGGGATTTATAGGGCTGAGATGAACAATATTTGGGGATTAGATATAGAGTTTGTGCTGAAGTAGGCTAAACTTTGGGAAGTATTATAGTGTAGGAAGTTATGCTTTAATTCCTTCTAGATGTCTTCCCAATACAAGCAAATATTGGATGTTGACCATTTATCCTATTTCTTATGTAGGACTTCATGTCTATGAATTGTGTATTTTCCTTGAGCTCTTACACAGTCAGCTTGGTTGACGCTTTGTTTTTGTGTTGCTGAGAGAATTCATTCATCAGAGTGGGACTAACAATGGTATTTGAACTGTTCTTTTCCCATAGCTGCGTGGAAGGGTGGGGCGGGCAGATAAAGAAGCTTATGCACATTTATTTTACCCTGACAAATCACTGCTATCTGATCAAACATTGGTATGTTTTCTTCATCAAAGTTTCCTTTAACTGCTTATTATTTGGGAGCATCTAATATGTACTAATTGAGGTTTATAAGTYATCATATTATCTGTACATGTTGCATTTGTTGGTTCAGAATCTTCCATCTTGGTGTTCACGAATTATCCAAGTTCTTGTGAACTCATTTACTGTTAATTGGGAAGAACTTGGATTTTTTTTTCTCTTCTTTAACTATTTAGATACAATTTTGAATTCAGGAGAGGCTTTCAGCTCTTGAAGAGTGTCGGGATCTTGGGCAAGGTTTCCAACTTGCAGAGAGAGACATGGGTATAAGAGGATTTGGGAATATTTTTGGTGAACAGCAGACAGGAGATATTGGAAATGTAGGCATTGATCTCTTCTTTGAAATGCTTTTTGAGAGTTTGTCCAAGGTAAATCTGTTCTATTTCTTTACTTTTTTAGAGAAGCATCATGGCTGTACAATGATGTTTTTAGATGTGTAAAACGGGCTGTACTGGGCTGGCACGGCACAGCCCGCGTGCGGCCTGCGGATTGTGCCTTCCTCCCCTAGTATATTTTGGGGGGTTGGCCCGGCATGGCCCGAGCCCGTGTGGGCCAGTGCCGGGCCTGGCCGGACCATGGACCGGGCCAAAGTTATTTATTTAAAAAATTGAAAAAAACTTAAAATTGTAATTTTATATGAATTTTGATGTATACAATTGCTTATATATACAATAATTAAATAAAATAGTATAATAAAATTGAAAAAAAATGTTTATTTTATTAATACATTATATACTGTATTTTATTATATGATTATAATTTGTATAGTATATTATATATATAAATATATAAAATAAATATTATATATATAATATGGGCCGGGCCACGGGCGGCACAGCATGACAGTGCTGAAACCCCAAGCCTGGCACAGCCCATTGACCCATACAAATCGTGCCAGGCCGGGGCACGGCCCGTGGACCATCGGGTCGGKCTGGTTTTCTATTTACTGCCATAACTGTTGTCAATCACCATTTTCTCACTCAGGCATGGAGAAAAAAAAAATCATGTATAAAGTTCAGGCTTTAGCACTCTGAACTTTGGAAAAGAATCTTTCTTTCAACCATCTTTATTCAATAAATTCATATAAACTAAGAGCATGAGAATAGAACAATATCTTGGGAGTTATAGGGCTGGGATGAACAGGACCAGGACACCATATACATGGCTGATTATGAAGACATCTCTGTGTATATTGTCTGGATATGCCATATAAGACTCTACAAGAAAATCCTCAAACTTCAGGCCTGGAAAAACTAGTTATAGAAAGCAATTTATGCCCACTAGTAGATATATGAGTGCATTAGCCATTAGTGAAATGCACACATAAAACCAATAAGGTGGTTAAGGTGTGTTTTATGGAGAGAGACCAACTTTTTGGGTGGGGTTGGGGGAAAGAAAGTTAGGTACTGGTATATAATGTAGGACAATAGGAATGTCTTTATCTTAAATGTTCTTAGCATCTGTTGATAAAAAAAAAATATTCTTAGCATCTGCTGAGAGGTATTTTTGCTTTCAGGTAACTGGTTAACTGGCTTCACTGTCCATTTAATCACAATCTTTTGGTTCACAATTTATGTCACTTGCAGATATTCTGATTTCCTTTTCTTTGGCATTCAGGTTGAAGAGCACCGGCTGGTCTCGGTTCCTTACCATAGTGTACAGGTATCTAGTATCATCTGAGAACTAGGTTCATTAAATGTAAGAATCAACCTCATGCATGATAGTTGTACTACCTAGTAACTGCATATTGGGATGCATAGCATACCCGGGGACGGGGGGCTTTGAACTTGATTGAACCATGGGGATGTGTTCAGTCTGAAGTCAACCCTTACAAATGAATGTAACCACCCAATTAATATTTTCCTTGGTTGAAAGAGATCAAGCTTATCTGGCTTACAGTCTAGATATGTGTGTAGTTTGGATGGCTGCAGCCATCAAACGAGGTTTATTGAGGCAATTGCCTGTGGAGAATCCATCTAATTGTGGTTAGATATCTAGATGCTTTCCTTCATATGGGCTGATATTCTGGATAACAAATCGAGTGTCTATACTAGCAAGACTGAACATTATTTTTTTTTCTTTATATATTGGCTTTAAATAGAACGGATTGGTGAAACAGGATCATGTAGCTGACCCCATATAATTGGGATAAGGCATGGATGATGATACAAATGTCTTCTAGACCTTGGTTGTTAGTAATATGCATTTAAATACATTTCTCAATGGTAATTTCACCTTCTTATATTATGCCAGCTTGATATAAATATCAGCCCCCACCTCCCGTCAGAGTACATAAATCATTTGGATAATCCCATGGAAATAATTAACGAGGCTGAGAAAGCTGCGGAGGAAGGTGTTTGGAGTTTGATGCAATTCACAGAGAATTTGCGGCGCCAATATGGAAAAGAACCATGCTCCATGGAGATACTATTGAAAAAGTTGTATGTAAGGAGGATGGCAGCGGACCTGGGAATCACTAAAATATATGCTTCAGGCAAGATGGTTGGTATGGAAACAAATATGAATAAGAAGGTTTTCAAATTGATGACAGAGTCAATGGCATCTGATGTTCATCGGAATTCTCTAGTTTTTGAGGATAACCAAGTAAAGGTAATTGTTGATGTTTTTTAAAGTTCCCACTCTTTACTGGTCAAGCTGTGATCTTAAACATGTATTCTGAAACCATCTTGGATCCCTGCAAATTCCGAGAAATACTTGTTTAGATACAGGGCTGTGGCCCTGATCCATATAAAAGGAGTTGCCACCTATCATGTTGAAGGTGGTAGATCCCTTATTAGAATTGTAAAACAAGGAAATGACTGCAATACCCATAAATAAAACCAGAGGGAGTTTGGGTAAAGATGTTGCATTTTCAGTGGAGAAAGGGGTGAATCACTCCCACTGAACTAGGGGTTGTCTACTGAAGTCTTGGGAATGTCAATGGTTTGGGTCAAACTGATGGACCCAAACCATCCAAACCCTATTATACAGGGCCTGAGTATGCATTTTGAGTCCCAATTATAATAGAGTTGGGACTACTTTACCCGATGTGTTATCAAGCCTGTATTTAATTAAATAAATAAAAAGGAGGCTTCTGGTATGAACCTAGAAGGGGAAGAGGTGGAGAAGAAGAAGAGGAGAAGAAAAGAAAGGTCGAACAGAATAGGGCTTCACAGTCTCTATTGAAAGAGAGAACTGCCGCCCAGAATGTTTAATTCATAATAAAAGGTAATATTACACTATTACCCCTGTATACAAATGCTTGAGAATAGAGACAAAAAACACTGATTTAAAGAAGGGAAAAGACTAAAATAACCCTTGAACAAAGTTGTATTTTAACACTCCCCCTCAAGTTAGAGCATCCGAGCACCACTCAAGCCTTCGGTAAATAAATCAGCTAGTTGATCTTCAGACTTCACGTATGGGGTAATGATTTTTCCACTGACCACCTTTTCTCTAACAAAGTGACAATCCACCTCTATGTGTTTGGTCCTCTCATGATACACTGGATTGGAAGAGATATGAATGGCAGCCTGGTTGTCACAAAATAGCTTCATGGGGGTTGTGACTGATATTTCCATCTCTTGTAACAATTGTCTCAACCACACCAACTCACATGTAATGTGGGCCATGGCTCTGTACTCAGCCTTAGCACCACTCCTGGCCACCACATTCTGCTTCTTACTTTTCCAAGTAATCAAATTCCCTGCCAAAAAAGTGCAGTAACCAGTTGTTGATTTCCTATCAATAGCCGACCCTACCCAATCAGCATTTGTGTATCCTTCCAAGGAAAGTTCTCTTTCTTATACAACAACCCTTTACCTGGAGCCCCCTTCAAATAGCGTAGAACTCTAACAATACCTTCCCAATGGATTGTCCTTGGGTTTTGCATGAATTGGCTCAACAATTCAATACTGAAGGAAATGTCAGGTCTTGTAATGGTTAAATAAATCGGTTTTCCATCTACTCTCCTGTATTGTCCAGGATCAGCTAGGGGCTCCCCCTCACTATCAGACATCTTCACATTCAGATCTATATGGGTATCCATTGGATTTGCCCCTAAAAGACCAGTTTCTTCCAACAGGCCAAGCACATACTTCCTTTGTGAGAGAGAGATTCCCAACTTTGACCTTACTACTTCTATGCCCAGAAAATATTTMAAGTGCCCCAAGTCCTTAGTCTGGAACTGGTTTTGTAAAAATCATTTGAGCTTTTCAATGCCATGCTCATCACTTCCTGTGACAATGATGTCATCAACATAGACTGCTAACACATTCACAGTCCCTCTTCAAACTGCCGAGTAGGAGGAGTCTAAACCACCATCAAACAGTCGACCAACGATGCAGCTTGAGGCATAGAAGCCTCTTAACCTTCTGGGCGATCAGTCCTTTTAGGTTCTTCCCCTTCCTCTCTTCTCGTATTGGTATAAAACTCAGCTGAACCAGTTGCAGGCGTCCTTCACTGATGCAGTCAGGAAACTCGATCAACCAGGCTCTGATACCATGTTATCAGGTCTGTATTTAATTAAATAAATAATGAGGCTTCTAGTATGAGCCTAGAAGGGGAGGAGGTGGAGAAGAAGAAGAGGAGAAGAAAGGTCAAACAGAATAGAGCTTCACAGTCTCTATCGAAAGAGAGAACTGCCGCCCAGAATGTTTAATTCATAATAAAAGGTAAAATTACACGATTACCCCTGTATACAAATGCTTGAGAATAGAGACAAAAAGCACTGATTCAAAGAAGAGAAAAGACTAAAATAACCTTAGAACAAAGCTATATTTTAACATGATGCACTTGATTAAGACTCAAACCGATTATATATATTAGCACATGATAAAAATGCCTCCCAACATTTTATATGTGTTTCTTGTGGTTTACCTTTATTCTATAATACTTTCATATAATATGTATAAAATTGTCAATTTATAGGGCATATATAAGATATTTTGAGAAGAGAAAGCAAGAGAAATAGTAGCCAAAGGCTTGCCCATTATAAGTGGGTCTCATCAGGTCAGACCTGATAAGCCTGATTAATAATAGGGGTGGTCTAGATTTCTTACTTACAGATACTATAGGATCTGGATGTTTTCTTGTCAGCTCAAGATCATGTCTATGCTGACCTGGACTAGACCTGACCAATTGACAGCCCTAGTTTATGTCTAAATTAACAAAAAGAAGGCAACGTCGGTTTAGTTTTTCCTTAACAAATTATATAAAGAGCAATGAAGTTTTAGATCTTTTATTGCAAACAAGATGAATGGAATTACAATGGAGTTACAAGGGGCATTGTACCAAATACTTTACAGAACTTAAAGCATCATAATATTAATTTAATATGGTGACCTGGACTAGACCTGACCAATTGACAGCCCTAGTTTATGTCTAAATTAACAAAAAGAAGGCAAAGTCGGTTTAGTTTTTCCTTAACAAATTATATAAAGAGCAATAAAGTTTTAGATCTTTTATTGCAAACAAGATGAATGGAATTACAATGGAGTTACAAGGGGCATTGTACCAAATACTTTACAGAACTTAAAGCATCATAATATTAATTTAATATTACTTATCTATACTATATAAATCAGATACTTGCCTTGGTTTCGGTGCAGGTCATAAAAGTTAAAATTTGATTATATAATGTTACTTCATATCTTTACCCTTTGCTTGCAAGATGTGCATGGGATGTGCCCTTACAGTAGTTTAAAAATTATATGCATATCTATCATAATTTAATAATGAAATATTTAAAACAACAAACATAATAAAAAAAGAAATCTATTTTAATGGATAATAACTTTTAAGGTCCTCGGCCTTCCACCATTGCACATGTTTTATTAGTTATATCCTCTGGGTTACTTATTGCTTTTAGTTGGTAAGCTCATTAAATATTAATTTCCAGTCTCAACAAAAAAAGTTCCTACTTTCCTGCATCTTTGACATGTGTACAACAGAGGCAGGTAAGAGGTTAATCCCTGTACTTAGTCATCATTAGGTGGCTCTGTTGAACGCTAATGTTTCCTATTGTGTTCTTGCTAACATGATTTAGGGTGGTCATTAAGTTCCTATTTCAACCTTTTGGTGTCTCGCAGGCAGAGCTTCTTTTGGAGCTACCAAGAGAACAACTCCTTAATTGGATATTTCAATGCTTGGCTGAATTACATGCTTCACTACCAGCCCTCGTAAAATACTGATTGTATATACTGGACAGCAAATACTTGATGTGCTTTTTCCTTTGACTCACCCCTGGGTAGATCAAAATTGCATATTATCATGTGGCAGAGCGTCATAGAAGTCAGAGAACTCGCATTATCCTGCACTGAAGTCCTTAGAATGTTACCACTTGGATTCCAAAGCTGGGTTGCCCTAGTATGGATCATGTGAAGTTACAATTCTGTGAGTTTAAAGCATCAGAAAGATGAAAGTTGATATGGATTCGAAACTTAGTATACGGTGGGGGTGGAGTCTGATAAAAACCACATTATTTACCTACAGGTATGTGTAGTTTTAACTCAAGTGCACAACTGACGTAAACCTTTTTTTTTTAATCTTTTACCTTCAAGGCTTTGGCTGTTGATGTTTATGGTGCTAACTAGGTTCCCTTATTTCAGGATTTTAGTATAAATAGAGTGCGTGGGGTGCATAGGTGGACTTCAAATGCATGTTCTATGGCATAAGACAATGATTCACAAGGTCTAGAAGAGAAAGCTGCAGTTGAAACTTCAAATTTTACTGAGTTCACCACCATCAATTGTAGGCTTTTAATTGTAGTGAACTACCCGAATATGCGATATATACACGACCTTGGTTGCTAGGATTTGGATCCAAAATATTGTATCTGATTATGATATGGTCCATGGGTTAAAGGCCTTATTAGAGGCCGGTTCTGGCTAATGGGTACTCAATAAACATATATGAACACTGATCAGGATATTTATAAATGCGGAATGAGTAAATTCAAATTATTTTCCTTTTTCTTTCAGCCATTTACATTCATTGAAAAACCTTTGAATTTTGTTATTTTTTGTGTATACATTTATATGATATCCTAGAACCGAGAACCATCCATATAAAAAAATCTAATTCCATTGAGAACTTGAGGCATCTGCTTCTTTTCTGCACGCAGATTCTATAATCAATTTTATCATCCTGCCTCATTCTAGAATCCACTTGCGACCTGATTCTAAATGATCTGAATCTCAGGGTCTCTTTAGTTCGTAGGAATAGGTGCTTGGAATCGGAACCGCAATGGCCTATTCTGATTTCAATCATTTGGTTGATCAGAATGAGATTTTCCCATATGAGGGAATGGCTATTCCACCGAACCCCATGGGAATGTGATTTTCATTCCAACTTTTTTATTTTGTATTTTTTGTTAGGGTAAAATATAAATACCTCCCCTGAAGTTTTTGACAATCGTAAAAATCTCTTCTATAGTTTTACTTTAGCAAAAACTTTTCCCCTATTTTTAAAAAATTCAATAAATATCTCATTTATGTTAATTACCAAGACGAAAAAGGCTAAAGAGATAATCAATTTTTTTAAAATACCTATTTTACCTTTTATGAATTAATTGGTATATATTTTTACTAAAATAGCCCTGTCTCAGCAACTCAACCATGGCGGCAGATGGATGACAATGTCAGACGTCTAACGATAGTATCGGAAATTTCGCTCAGCAACAAAAACGGTACTCTGTTTTCTCGTTTAGCAACTGGAAATTTCGTCCAACGATGGGCAACCATGCTTCCTCCAAGGTGGGCAACCCTGTAATGGGAATTTCGTTCATTACAGGGCTAGCACCAAAGTTGATAGCTCTTGCTGGCTCAGATCCAAATAACCGATCACCACACTGGTTAGCCCTTCTATATATATGCGATCCGCTTCATCAAGACAGACGTTCTGCTCCCCCATCCTCCCTTATCTCTGCTCTATCGATCATCACCATGTCTCAGCTTGCTGTTTTGTGTAACGAACTGCCCTTAAAGATTGCTTGTCTCACCATTCAGAAACAATAGACCAAACTTAATGCCAAAGTGACAACCATGCCTTCGGAGGCCTCCTCCACTATTAATTCATGTCCCATCAAAACCGTCGTGGTTTTAGTCCAAGAAAACCGCTCCTTCATCAACCCAGAAATTGATGGTGTCACCGGGAAAGAATACAACTTGATCTCTGCAAAGGATCCCAACTCGGAACGGGTTTACTTTGGGAACCTACAACTTGATCTCTGCAAAGGATCCCAACTCGGAATGGGTTTACTTTGGGAACCAATCGGAGTACGTCGACCCCGACCCTGCTCACTCGTTTCAGGAAATTTACGAGTAGGTTTTTGGTGTTCCATGGGGACAGTAGTCATCATCAGTTAATAAAGGCGGCGTCGCGACGACATGAATGGATTTGCGCAGCAGGTAGAGAGCGTAGAGAAGGGGTTGTCGGAGACAGTGATGAATGGGTTTAGGCCGGAAGTAATATCGGTATACAAGGAGTTGGTGTCGCAGTTTGCAGTGTGTGATAGGTGGTTCGCGTCGCTTCCCAGTTTAACGCAGCCAAACCGGTTATTCGTGCACTCTGCAACGTCGCACGGATATATCAATCACGACACTATGAAGCTGATCCAAGGGTTCTCATAGAAGACCATATTCGATTCTTTGGATGACGCCGGTTTATCTTTTGGGATATATTACGCCAACCTTCCTTCCACGCTTCTCTACAGGTAAGCAAGCTTTCCACTGTGCCAAGGCCCAGTAAGGTCTTCTGTGGAGGAAGCATGGTTGCCCACCCATTACAGCATGATTCCTCCTGTAGTGAACGAGAAAACAGAGAGTATCGCCATGGTTGGACGTCTGACATTGTCATCCATCTGCCACCATGGTTGTCCACCCATTAAAGAAAAGGGAAGGTTGGAGGGGGGAGTGCACCGCGTGAGGAAGAAGATGAACAGTGTTCCACTGGAAGTGAGGTATTTGTTGAATTTTTTAAAAATAGAGAAAAAATTTTTGCTAAAGTAAAACTATAGGAGAAGTTTTTAGGATTGTCAGAAACTTAGAGAAAGTTTTTGTATTTTACCTTTTTATAAAAACATCTTTACCATTCCAAAGCCCTAATCAATTCAATTCCTGACCGTTTTATTTAGACTTTCCATCCAAGTAGTTGCCGTTGACCACCATCTCCAGTGAGGTAAGGCTGCCGTCGATCACTATCTCTTCTTCCTTTTCTTCCTCCACTCCCTCCTCTATTATCTCTTTTTTCTTTCCTTCCTTTTCCCCTTAGTTGCCACCACCGTTGCTAATAATCTAATACTACTGGCAGTCGGTATTAGCCCAACTGAACAGAGATTAATGTGCCCTCTTCTTCTTCGAAATCAACCACCGTTCTTTCTTCTTTCTTCTTCTAATTGGGGTAAAACTGCAAATTTCAGTTGATTCTGATTTTGGTTTCGAATTGAATCAAACAACAATAATTGGAATTCAATTAAGATTCCCATCTTTGGGAATAGACAATTTTGATTCTGATTCTTGGAGATTCCCACTTTGATTGTGTTTGGAAACAATGCAAATAGARTTGAGTTAGCTTTGCATTGACAAATTTACCTTCTTACCAAACAGGCTTTTAGCTGCAATGGATACAAACATGAATTCCAACAAAGTATATGGCTTTTTTTATCAAAAAACCCATTTGAATGCAAATTTTATATCTCATTATCGATATAAGCATGCATTGAAAAATGTATTTTCTTTCATTTATCAATACATAAATGCATTATTACCAAATACCAGCAAAACTGAACCAAAGCGTAAATTTACGCTGAATCGGGATTTAGATTTCGTTTCCAAACGCAGCTCAGTAATTCAAATTAAAGGAAAGTAAATGAGTTATATGATTATTGGTAACTAACGTTATAAAACATTGTGGTCTCGTGAAAATATTGAGTACTACAAACAATTAGGCAAACACTTTAATGGGGTCCAATATCCTACCTTGTAGGGTGAAGAAATCCGAGAATTGCATGAACTCGGTCAACATTTTTCTTTAAATTACATAAAATTAGGTTTTTTCTAAAAAAAAAAATCTAAACTCTAAAGCCCAACCAAATCTCCCCCTAATTGATGGTGGCTTAATTAATAAGTGTTCTGGATTAGTTGAAGAAGAAACTTGAGATCAAATTCTGTTACGGATTTATGAATATCAGACTATGAAACAAGGTTACTCCGCTGTTTAGCCTCATGAAGCTAATAATAAATAAAATGGGTTTTTATAGTTCAGTCCACCCTTAGGGTGGAACTAAGATTTTTAGGAGTGTATTGAATTTTGACTGTGGATTAATGTTAAATCTACAGGGCGATTTATAGGGGGTTACTAATAGATAGAAGGGGTTGCAAATTTCAGACTTCTGAGGTGGATTGCAGTACAGATCGGATAAGGTTACAACCATTGATCTCTATGCACCACTTTTTAGGGGGTTTACTGCAGCGCCTCTGATGCAATCTCCTTTTTAGGGGTGATAAATTTTTTCAATTTTTCTTGCCAAAAAAGTAATAACTATAGTTCAAAGTATCGATACGATATGCTCAATACGGGGCATATCATATCATATCTTTTGAAAAAGATACGGTCCCCCAATTTTCTTTAATAATAAAAAATATCTTATATAAATAAGTATGTATCGACCATTTCTAAGTATCAATGCGATATGAACGAAACTATACTTTAAACCTTCGTAATAACCTAAAATTTAAAAGAATGCGCACTATTACTTCTCTACTCTTAAAGTCTTCGACGCTTGACACTCCCCACTTTATTAGTTATCAATTATCATTGACGAATTAATTGAGTCTGGCCGCCAAGAAAGATGTGAGCCAAACCATTTAGCATGAGCAAAGGGACAGTTGCACAATAGAATAGATGTTCAGGTGTTTATTAATTCCGTCACTTGACAACCAAAGGGACAGACAATAGCGTTCACAAATATTAAGGATAGTTTGTCCCACTGTGCAAAGTCCAACTTCCACAAGAAAAGTAGGATCCTTGGATAGATGTACGTTGACGCCAAAATGCACTATCACAAGCAGACTTCACTTTGTAATGTAATGCATCTCCCCTTTCTATCAAAATATATCATCAAACAAAATAGAAAATGAAGGAGGGAGACGATATACACAATTTCATTGGTTGAAGCCAAGCTCACATAACCTCTATCATTCAAACTCTCTCAAAGTAAAAAAAACACCCGTTTTGCTTTTGCATCAATAGAAAAAGAACACTACTTTGCTCTTTTCCTGCATCTTTCTTCTCGGTGGAACTCTACATTGAGTGGCATGAACGATTAATATAAATTTCCATCGACATACGCCGATATTTGAAATTCAGATCGATCAACGGCTAACTTAGAACATCCGGATCTAGTGTGCTGTTTCTGATGAGTGATTTGACCCAACCTAATAACTAAAGGACACGTGGACACGACTTATCAATAGGACGATAACTTAGTAAGGGGAGTCTTATCAGTAGTTCGGGAGTCCATGTGTTTGGGCATCTCGGCACAGAGCCACTTCAATACTTGAAGTGATATGTATACTTGAAGTGATATGTAATCAACTTCAAAAGCTTTTCAGGGGACTCCAAATCTCCTAGGATCACACCGTATAACGKTAGACTTTATTTTCTCTCCGCCCGAATTGAACAATAACGATAGACTTCATTAGCTGATATGTTATTCTCTTTCTAAAGCGTTGGCTGAGGATTCCAAAATTATTTCGTAAGACCACAACAGTCTCAGGACCATCTAGCTCTCCTACTTCTTAAAGTCTCATCTCGCATATTATTATTACTAAGCATCTGACTAACCTCGCCGAATTAATTAGAAGTAGCTCTCCTACTTCTTTGATTCCTCCCTTTCTTTACAATCCAAGCAACCTACCTAACGACAGGCATCCGAACTGCCCTACAGCTAGGAGCCTTACCATCGTTTCCACCTTCGATGGATCCGAAAATTGAAATCAATACTGGCCACTTTAGAACATCTGGTATGCTGTCTTTCTCCTCTGTGCAACTTCACTGCTGACTAGAAAAGGAGATTTCGCCTGCAAACACCTGCAAACAGATGCCACTAGATTGCTCTCTCCCAGCCAAACAGCAATGGTACAAATGGGAATTTTAACGAACTTTGCATTTACATGAACCGCATAAATTTATATTTGCACTATTCCCAAAAGGAGCATTTCTATTTGCTAAGAGCGAAGGGTTTATTGTTTCAAGGTTTCTTTCGCGAGGAACAGGCGCACTGTCAACTATTGAACCATCTGAAGAGAGGCGACATTTGGAGTTGAGCCAAGCGTCAGCAAGTTGTGTTCAATCTAATTATCTGTAAATCGTATCTTTGCTCCAGTTGTGTTTAATCTCTTGGAAACCTTGTCCAGCTTTCAAATATGTAGGTTATCCCATACCGTCTCTCCACTCTCACTCTTTCACTCCGTAAAAAACCTCTACTCCGTATTACTCAATAAATTCCTTTTATGCTTACAGGTTTGTACGTTTTTGTTTTTGATCTTTTTTGCGCAATATATTCTCTCATTTTTCAATATTGTATCTTGATGCTTTCCTTGATTTGTGTCTGTCAATTCGCGTTCACGGTAATTGATGCACCTCCTACGTGCCACTAGGAGCTTTCTCAGATTTCCAACCTCCCTTTCTAATCCCTCCGACGGCTCTAATCTGGTATGGACAATCATCGCTCGCCATTACAACCATAACTTCCCTTTAACTTCCTTAGACAAACTCGCTAACGCCAACCAGTTCAACCAAATTCTCTCTTATGCTATCACCACAGGACTCTTCAACAACTCTTTTATAGCAAACAAACTCCTCTTCCTCTGTCTTTCATCCCCCAATCTTCCACTTGCTCCTGCCCTTTTTTCTCAAATCCGGAATCCAAATCTCTTTGCGTGGAATTCCATGTTCAGAGCTTACGCCAATGGTTCTTCTCCCGAAGAATCCATCACTCTTTACAATGCCATGCGACGTGAAGGCGTCTTGCCCGATAACTATACATTACCTTTTGTTCTCAAAGCCTGTGGGCGATTATCAGTTATTGAGAAAGGGGAAGAGATTCACTCGGTAAGTCTGAAATTGGGATTTGAGTTTGATGTATTTGTGCAGAATTCACTTATTTCGATGTACTCAGTGTGTGGTTTGGTTGAAACTGCTAGGAGGGTTTTTGATTTGGTTCCAGTCTGTGTCAGAGATGTGGTCTCTTGGAATAGTATTATCTCGGGGTACTTGCAGAAGGGCCTTTGTGAAGAAGCATTGAAGGTGTTTGGTAAAATGTTGGATGGTAGATCGGAGAGACCAAATGAGTTGACTGTGGCAAGTGTACTGACTGCTTGTGGAAGGATTGGAGACCTTGATTTGGGTAAGAAGATTCATGGATTTCTTATGGCAAGTGGGATTGTCTTTGATGTCTTTCTGGGCTCCTCTTTGATTGACATGTATGTAAAATGTGGGCAAACAGAGGATGCTCGGAAGGTTTTTGACAGACTGCCACACAGAAATGTAGTCTCTTGGACTTCTATGATAGCAGGCTATACCCATTGTGGTCTATTTAGGGAAGCAATTAACTTATTTAGGGAGATGCAGGTTGCAGGTGTGATGATATATGAAGCAACACTTGCTTGTGTAATTTCTGCTTGTGGACATCTGGGTGCTCTTGATCAGGGAAGTTGGGTACATGCTTATGGTGAAAGGAATGGCATCAAGATGAACCTCCCAGTGAAGAATGCATTGATTGATATGTATTCAAAGTGTGGAAATATTGATAAAGCTCTTGAAATTTTCCATGAGTTGATTCAACCAGATGTGTTTTCATGGACAGTTATGATTTCTGGGCTTGCAGTGAATGGTAAATCTGAGAAAGCAGTAGACTTCTTTTCACAAATGGAGATGTCAAGTGAAGTCAGACCAAACGAAGTCACCTTCCTTGGACTATTATCTGCTTGTAGCCATGGTGGAATGGTGGAAAAGGGGTTTTATTATTTTGGTTCTATGACAAGAACTTATAATCTCACCCCTCGTATTGAGCACTATGGATGTATGGTTGATCTTCTAGGACGTGCCAGTCTTTTGGCTGAGGCTAAGAAGTTTCTCATGGAAATGCCCATTGAACCTGATGCAGTTATTTGGCGAGCACTGCTTTTTGCCTGCAGGAATAACAGGAATATAGAAATGGCAGAATTTGCAGCAAAACAGATTCTGCAGTTGGAACCAAGAAAGTGTGGAACTCATATTTTGTTGTCCAATATTTATGCTTCAGTTTCAAGGTGGAGTGATGCAGAAAGAATTAGAAAAATTATGAATGTTCATGGGATTCAAAAGCAGCCAGCTTGCTCTTTTATTGAAATAAATGGTGTTGTTCATGAGTTCTCTATTGCTGATACTTCACACCCTGAAACCAATATAATCTATAAGATGGTTATTGGAATGGATCAACTTTTACGATCTGAGGGATACATGCCCGATCTTTCATATTATGTCAACATGTGAGGAGAAAGTTGAAGCATATTGGAATCTAAATCAACTATGTTCTATCATCTGTGCATGAAATGTGCTTGTTTTATAAACTGTATGGATTCATTGCCATCAATTTATCCATATCTTAAGTCAGGAGGATTGGTATCTTCATTGGATAAGATTCTTCCCAAGTAATGAAAATTATTTCTGCAACTTAATGGAAGACGCTCAATGATCACTACATCAGGTATTTCCGCTTGGCAATTCACTCATTTGGTGTCCTTTTTCTCTACAGACTTTGTGAAACAAAGAGTTCCTTTAAGAAATTTCAAGACATTAAACCTGTCATTGCGATGGAAAGCAGGACTCAAGGCAAGAGGTTTGCTATGTACTTGTCATCGAGGCTTGTCTAGAGAACATAGAATAAAAAATGATGGTAAACACTAAACAATGGCATTTTAATATTTATTTTTATTAAAATGTAGAATAAAGAGCAAAAGCTGGCATGAGAAATGAGATAAATTCTTTCTTCTTGGATTTTGATATGCAGTATGAGAAGCTGGTTAAGGATCTTTTTCCTCTTAACCTTCCCTCCTCCAATTCCAGTTCCTCATTGAAGCCCAACAACATATTTTTTTATTAGCAACAGAAAACAGAATTTTATTATAGATATAGCAGCACGACAAGAGGTTGTAGCTTTTCATTACAAATATAGAGTATGAGCATAGCCCCTGCTATCCCACCCCAATACAGATCTTACAAATGAACCCAATACAGCTGATGTCTAGTAATCCCTTGCTTCGCTAAACCAGCAGCCAAGCCATTTGCTAATCTTTGTACCCACTGAATTCCTATTTGTATAGTCTTGATATCCAATTAAACCTTTTGGTTTCATTTCTGTAACACCAATTTTATCATTCACAAATATAATGCAAGGAGCTTTCTCCTTGGCCTTCTTGAAGAGATCATGAACCTGAGAAGCATGAAAACCAACGAACTCAGATCCAGAGATGGAGAAGAATGGAATACCTGCTTCCCCAGCAATTTCCTTAGCAAGAAGTCATTCCAGTTTCTACATGCACCAACTGCAGTAAATCTCTTTGATTTCTTCAGGACCTCCACTACTTCCATGAAATCCTGCTTTGGCTCATTGACTTTAGCATCATCAAAAGTCACAGTAGTTTTTGGTTCCATTTGGAACTTAGCCTTGGATTAGCCAAAGGAAAGTAAAGCTGAGGGGAAAAAAGCGAGAGGCTCTTTGTTCAATTGAGTCTTCTACTTGCAGCAACAATGGTGGACTGCACTAATGGTGACTACCATGGTGACCAGAGAGAAGACAATTGCAAGTAGGTTATAATCAATCTCTGCAACCTGATTCCATCTTTTTTTCTTTCTTTTGCCAGTTGTGGTCAAGACCAAGTTTTCATAGATCCTGGCTCATCAAGTTGCTTTACTTTTCAGTGACAACATGCTTGCTCTAGTAACCTTCAATTTAACATTTCTCTGTATTTGATAACTCGAAGCAGAGGAGGAAGGGTGGTTAGTTCTGGCATTGAAGTACCGCCCGGTTGCTGGTAATTTTCTTCCATTCACCATTTCAATCAGCTGCTGTGCATCTGATTAGATGATAACTCTGTTGAAGCACTGAATCTTGCAGATTTCAGACCTTTTATTAGGGCTCAAAATTCTGCATCATTGCTTCACTGTGTTCTGAATGAAGTGCTTCTCTGTTGACCACAGAAACAACCACAATAGTGAAGATTGAAAAGGAATTTTGCTTTTGTTTTACAAAAATGTTGAAGAAGATACTTCTATTAATAAGTTTCAAAATCATCATCATCATCCATGTCTTATCCCAGCTATATGGGGTTGGTCACATGAATCCTGTTTCACCAATCCATTCTACTTAAAGCCAATAAGTTTCAAAATGGAGTGCATATATTAATATTTTGTTTTTGGTAGGTAATTTCTGATGTTGGGCACACTTGGGAAATTTTGGAGTTCTAATGGGTTGAGGATTTTAGGAGTTTCGGGTAGCTAATAACTTTCTTTTCTTGGTGTAAGCTAGTAGAATATTCAGTTATATGATGAGATTGTTAAGGTTGTTTTAAGTTAGATTTGCTCTGTTTCTCTGTGATTTATCATAGGTTTGTTATAGGAGTTCTGGGTCTCTTTAACCTGTTGTTTAAGTTATATTTGTTATAGGTTGTTTAAGAAAAAGTTAGAATTAGTATTATTTACCTGCTACTAGTCTGGAATCATTTTAGAAAAGTTGTTCCAGTTTATGGTTGCTTTCCTGCTTCAGCGAAGTCCTTGCTATCTAGGTGGTGGGTGCAAGGGATGTCCAAGAAAGGGAGAGCTTGCTGGGATGTGGTGCCTCTAGCAGTCTTGTGGACACTCTGGTCTGAAAGGAATGGGAGAATTTTTAGCAAAAGTCTAATCCAGAGGAGGTGGTAATCAATTGTGAAGTTGACATGTTAAGAGCTCGGTTGTCTACTTATACATGTTTCAGTGGTGATGGCTTTTCTTCCTCCTTTTTGAATATAGATTTTTTGGGGTCCTTAAAGGAATGTTCTACAGAAACTTTTTGCACAGAGGACCATACTTGTATATTTTTTGAAAAAGTTTCCAGTAACATGATCTGTAGTTATCATTTGAACTCAAAGCCCAAGAAAAGGTGCTGAATTTGCAAAGTAAAAAACAGATGAATCCCATTTTCCTGGTAACAAAGAACAAAAAGGCTGATCTTCTCTGAGGTTAAGATCAGGCTCCTATTTAGTTTTATTCAAACATCTAGTATTGCCACTTTCCCATATTTCAGACTGCAATTTCCGCTCTGCAATCAGTTTTGCAAGGGGATTTCAAGGCCACTGAAATTGAAGTATCAACTTTTGTTTATTCAACTCATTGGTAGTATTAAGGGGTATAATGTTCTGTTCAGGTAGTATTAAGGGCTCTATAATGTTTTCATTTGGAAACCATGTTAGCAGTGAGTATTGAGTTGGTAATCTTCAATAACATTTTAAAGGCAACATATCAGAATGGATCCACTATTCCACTTTCAGCTGCAATATTTTTTATTTATGTACCACTACCTATATGGACACATGAGAGCCCATTAGAGTTCTTATTCCTATATTTGACAGATGAAACGTAGAAAGAAAAATACAAGCCAAGTTGCTATAATCAGCACACCTTAGAAATAGTGCCAAAAGCAGAACCGGAATAAAAATTGGAGACAGGATTAGCCTGTCCAATGCCAGCAACATTGGAATGCAAGCTCTTGAGCTAACAAGATGGAAGAAAATAAAACCTTTCTTAGAAGTTCAAAAATCACAAGTGAAGAACACACATGATTGCTATAAATTTGTGCACAGTGATCAAAACATCAGGCTGTTTTCCCTACTTCTACAAGTTGTTTATAGAATTAGGGTGTGGAATTAGACATTAATTAACACATTTGACCCTATATGTGCATTGAATTCTTGACTTAACTCTTCCGTCAAGGATCTTCATGTTCTAATAGAGACAATATTATTTTGACTACTGCTGCACTTGCTTCAAGGATGAAAAGTATCACTTCTCATCTCCTAGTCCAATACGTGTATCCCCCTCAAATGTTATCTGGTCCCAACCTTCTGTTACAATTATTGAGTAGATCTCTTTTGACTATTGGGTCCACATAAAAGTAAGACATAGAACAGGAAAGCATGTTTTCTTCTCATGGTAAATCTGTGAGGCATGAAATGATTTGTTTTTCAAGATCCAGTCAGAATTCCCATCAATGATAAGGGATACCATCAATGAAATTTGAGAAATTGAACAGGATCAGGTAGCAAGCATAGTTGTCAAGGCAACGCCTAGGCGACAACGCACCCTTGGAGGCTCGCCTCGCCCAGTCGCCAAGCAGTTTTGTGCACTGGGTTATAAAATACTTTTATATTTTTTAATTTTTTGACATTATAATTATAAAATAGACATTATTAAACTAGAATGTTCATTTTATGTGTTTATATATTAATTTCTTATTTTGTTAGGGTTTAATCAACACAAACATTGCTAACGGCTGTGTTGAACCCATGGTTCAAAGTATCGATACACCTCTGTGTATTGGCAGAGGTGTATCAGTACTTATAACGATAGTCCCCCCTATTTTTTTATTTCTTTGATTTTCAATTTCATTTATATATATATATATATAATTTTAAAAAATGGGTCCCTGAAAACACATGTAAACAGGTATCGGGACCCCAAAGATACAATACAATACACCCGATACGGGGCGTATCGTATCAAAATTTTGATCCTTGGTTAAACCCTCAAAAATTTCAAAACCTGAACCAATAAGCAAGGGAATAACTTAAAATTTTGTCTAATCAACATATTTTCTTCTTCCACCTTTTCTTTTCTTCTTTCCTATAACAAAAGTAGGGGTTCAGCCCCTATATTTTTTGAACTTTCTTTCCTTTGTTCTTTTTCTTCTCATAAAATGTTGATTTTCTAGACTTAAACATCAAATTTATACTTCCCTTATGAAAATTATGAATAATTATTAAGGAAAGATGGTTATGGAACCTAGGGAACTACCCTAGGATATATGGTTTTACTTAAAAAAAAATTATTGCCTAGCCTTGTCTTGGCACCTTGAAAACTATGGTAGCAAGTTTAGGGGTATCCTTCATTTGCAAGTTTGAGCATGGTGTTTTTAGGTGTAGGCAAAAAAAAAAATTATCAGTTTATCATGTTTTACTTTTCTAGCCTGTCTACCAAGCTGTTTCTTTCTCTTGGGATCCATCATATCTGAACCCTCAGATTGTGGACCATCAGATCTGAACCCTCAGATCCATCAGTGCACTAGATTGTGGACCTATGATGGGAACTCAAAAAGTCAGTAACCCATCTTACCAATGTAGCAAACGTTATCCTGCAACTTCTGTTTCAACTAAACAGTGCAAGTGTGCAATAAGGGACGTGCTCTGTGTGCTCATGCAATGAAAAGTGGAGAAAATGTCAATTTTAGTCCAGGAAAATGTACAACATCAAGGCTAGTTATTTCACTTTTTGAACTTAATAAAAAACAGATTTTTTTAAATAAGTTTTTATTTAACCAAATGAAAAACAATTTTTTTTTATAATTGAAATAATTTTATTAATCGGCAATAGACAATAGTACAAAGTCCCCAAGGAAAGGCACGAGTTGCAACCTTTCTGGGCTAATTAAGTACAGATTTCCAAATTAATAACAACTTACATAGAAGCACAAAAAAGATCTTCCCTATAAACCCCCTGTTTGGCTAAAGCATCAGCCAAAGAATTAGCAGACCTACTAACCCATTTTACCTCAACTCTCATATTGATGGTTAACCACTTTACTTTTTTTATGAGATTTTTGTAGCCCCAAATGGTGGTATCCAAGTTTAGGAGCCACCTTGTTACCACCTGAGAGTCCCCTTCAACTATGAGATGCTCCACCCCAAGTTGGTTGGCGATCTGAATTCCTTGTACTGCAACAAGGATTTCTGCCCTTGTGGAACCCCCCACTCCCACCGGTCCTGAGAATAGGTTGCTGTCCTTATTTCTCAGGATACCCCCTATACCTGAAGGCCTGGGGTTGCCTTGGCTACTTCCATCAAAGTTTAGCTTGATGACACCTTCCAAAGGCAGAATCCATTCTGACAGAATTCTATCATTCTTTGTTGAAGTGTTAGCTATTGTTAGTCAATTCCTCCACAAGTCATCAAAGGAGAAGTCATCAAAGATGCCCACAGTTTTCAGCCAATGGATTGCTCTTGTTATGATACAATCCTTCATTTCATCTAACCCTCTTTCCTTCTCTAAGAAAATTTTTGCATTCCTTTCCTCCTAAAGAGTCCACAAAGTGGCTGCCCTGACACATTTCCACATGACCTTACCTCTTCTAGTGTGCCAAACAAAGACAGATGGGTTGAATAGCAAGCTTAAATCAGAAGGCATAGACCACCTACCTCCAAATAAACAAAGGCTCCACCTCCATATAATTGTAGCATTCTTTTTGGGAATTAAGGCTATAAAGGTGGCACTGATTCCAGGACTCACAAAATTTTTATCCTCAAATTCTCTAAATACTCCAATTAAGTCTTCTTTGACTATGTCCCAACAGTCTTGATAAAATGCCGTTGTAAATCCGTCAGGACCCAGTGCCTTAGCCCTATCCATAGAAAAAACAACTTGTTTAATTTCCTCTTCCTCAATCAGTCTTTCCAGCCATCCCTTATCTGTTTGGTTCAAAATTGGTCAATTCTCCTCCCCTACTATTAATCGATTCTCTAAGGGTCTTTGAAAGATGGATTTGAAGTGATCCACAATCCTATTGGCAATCTCCTCTTGAGGTTATCTCCACACCATCAACCTTAAGCTTTAGTATCAAATTTTTCCTCCTTCKCCCATTAGCCAAAGCATGAAAAAATTTGGTATTCTCATCCCCTTCCTTGATCCACTTATGTCTAAATTTTTGTCTCCAAGAGATCTCCTCCCTCAACAAAGTCTCCTCTAACTCCTTTTTCAGTTTCCTCCTCATTTCTCTGTCTTGCTCATCCATCATCCCTTGGGATTCTTTTRCAYCTAACTCYTYAATYTGAACCAATAATCTAGCTTTTACCTCCTCCACTCTTCCAAATTGAACCTTATTCCA